ATTTTTTTTTTTTTTTACCAGAGGAACTCTTTTCTCCTGAGATCACATTTTGGACTAGGTTGCTAAGAAACCAGCTTCTTACTCAAGGCCCCAGACAATCTTTGTCCTACCTTTAGTTCAGCAGTTTCCAGAAAGAGGTGGCTTCTTTTCTCTATCTTGAAAATGCCAACTAAATGAGGTTATTTATTCATCACTGGACTATCAGTGGTGCTGAGAATTAAGCCCAATGGCCACCATGGCCTTCTCTGTGCTCACCTCTGGCCTGCCATGCTTAGATGCTTCTAGACCAGTGGATAATTGATATTCCTGGTTCCACACTGGCCATCACTTCACAGTTGTAACTCATCTGCATCTGTATGATGCCTTGTTGTTACACTTATCTGTTCGTGGCTTTGAAAATAGTGAAAGCAAAATAAAATACCCAATCAAAATAGAGTCAGGTCTAAGGGCTCTCCAAGCCATCATGGATTTTTAAAAAGAAGCTGTGGTGCCAAGTTCTGTGCAACAGAAGGCCATGAGTGTGACACCCGTGTGGTCTTATTAAAAAGGGGGATTACATACATAGTACTTGAGCTTTGCGGGTATGTTAAGAAACCAAATTCAGAGACTTGCCCTTGCAAAGTAAAATATAGCTCTGTTTTGTATAGTTACCACATTTAATATGGAATATATATTTCATTCATGTATTCGGAATACATATAATATGGACAGAAGTGAATGAGGAGGATAACACAGAACCTTTAGAATTCTGATTATTTTCTCTATTCACCAGGCTAGAACAATATATAGATATTAAAGTGGAGGAGACGGCTTTTTCTGGATGCAATTGACCCTGGTTACAACTAAGGGGTGACCCCCTTCAGATAATAAACCCATTTAACTCCTGTTTCTCTGCCTTCGCCGGGAGGGCACGACACGATCAGCTTGCTGGTAATGGGTGTTTTGCTGCCGGATGGGTTTCCGTCAAAGTAGACGGTGATGTTGTTGATCTTCTTGGGCCGGACAGAGTCCATGGCCCGCACGGAGAAGGCTGGGTGCTCCACGATGAAGGAGTAGGTGACTGTGTGGTAGAAGACATTCTTGAAGGGGATGACTATGTTGTACCCGGCTCGGATCTGGAGGGGACCTTGCGGCTTTGGGGGCACAGCCACTCCGAAGAGGGGGATGATATACTCTCCGCCTGCAACGGATGACAGGCTCAGGGTGCCCTTGGTGTCCCCCAGGTGGCTGGGCTCGAAATAGACTTCCACACTGATTTCCGTGCCGCCCTGAGCCCCCGCGGCCGCGCTGATGACCTTTTCCGTGTGGAAGTCTACACAGTCGGACTGAAAGGAGAACAAGTACACCTGGGTCACACGGGGTCCTGGTGGGTATGGCAGCAGCCCAGGTCCATCCCCAGTCCCTCCACTCTCGGTCGAGCAGGCTATAAAAAGCTGTGTGTCCTTATATAACTCCCTTGAAGATACGTAGCACTTTTAATAGTTATTCCTATCTATATATATGTAAAAGGTTAATATGCAAAGTGTCCCCTCGGGAATTCGACCAGGAGAATGGGAGTTTGATGGCTCGCTATGACGTGCGCTGATCACCAGGGGGCAGTGCAGAACATGGCGGGTGACTAGTGGCGGCAGCAGGAGAAGGGGGAGGCGGGGAGGCAGGGAGGCCGGGAACCTGATCAGCCCTGATCGCCAGCCAGGCCTAGAGACCATACCGGTGCATGAATTTCATGCACTGGGCCTCTGGTTTTACTATAAAGAAAATGAGGCCCAAAGACATGTGGCTGGATTATGTTAGTGTGGCAGTCATTGCTGTTGCTCCCCATAACCGGCTCTTCTTTCCTTCCATACACATGGAAGACCGCATGATCTAGATCAGTGATGGCGAACCTTTTGAGCTCGGCGTGTCAGCATTTTGAAAAACCCTAACTTAACTCTGGTGCCGTGTCACATATAGAAATTTTTTGATATTTGCAACCATAGTAAAACAAAGACTTATATTTTTAATATTTATTTTATATATTTAAATGCCATTTAACAAAGAAAAATCAACCAAAAAAAATGAGTTCGCGTGTCACCTCTGACACACGTGTCATAGGTTCACCATCACTGGCTTATAGGGTAGAGGGCCTGCAGAGTTAGACCTCTAGGATGGTCACACTGCCTGTGACAGCCATGGGACTCATACCTTCTGCCTTCTCTTCCCAGTGCAGGGAAAGCTGTAAGCTCTAGTGAGCATTAGGGCTCATCACTCTGAAGCCCTACCAGTGTTCGTAATGTAAATATCTGATATGCAGGATGTATTTTCATTGTTACAAATTGAACATAATTAAAGCATAGTGATTAACCACAAAAACAATATGTAATTATATATGTGTTTTCTGATGGTCTTAGGCGACCCCCGTGAAAGGGTCGTTCAACCCCCAAAGGGGCCGCGACCCACAGGTTGAGAACCGCTGTTCTAGACAATCAGTTGAGAGAAGTGAAAGGTGTCACTTCCACACCAGTGTCTTCAGTTGCCCATGCAAGTCCCTGTAGGGACTTTTCACCCCTCTGGTACTGTGCCCGGAAACACGTGAGATGGTGGCTGCTCGTCAGCCTCGATCCCTGAGTGGCTGTGATGAGCAGAGTCCCCTTCTGAGCCTCACTGCATAGACAGTGCAAACGAGAGACAAACCTTTGTGCTTTTAATCCACTGAGAGATTGAGGCTCTTTGTATATTACAGCATAATCTAGCTTCTCCTGACTGATAGGACTGACCAAGTGCCTCTATGTCCCTTGACTGTAGCTCTGACGTTGACGGGGCACACACCCACCCAGTGTAAAGGCTACATCTCCTAGCTCCCCTTGTTGCTATGCAGTTTTGTTCAATGGAATGTGAGTGGAAATGATATATGCAGGCGCCCCCCCCGCCCTTTTCCCTTGTACCTGGCTAAAATGTGGGTGTCACCGTAAGCTGTCTTGGTCCATGTGGACCAAAGCAACTCTCTACAGAGGGAAGAGCATCGGGACAGGAGCCTGGGAGGCTGATGTCATCGAGCTACCATTCCAGCTCAAACTGCTTATGCCCACAGTTATCTGAGAGAGGAATAAACGTCTATTTTGTTGTCATTTTGGGTTTCTGTTTCAGGAGTTAAGCCTACATTCCAACTGATATATTAGGTAACATATATGGGACATTTACCGTGGGCCAGGCTCTATGAAAATGGTTTTATGTATGTATTTAAAAATCCTCATGGAAATCCTGTAAGGTCAGGGTATTATCACCCTGTAGAGATAAACTTAGAGAGATTTAGTAAATTATTCATACAAAGAATATAGTAAAGTTCAGCCAGCATGGCTCAGTGGTTGAGCGTCGACCTCTGAACCAGGAGGTCACGGTTTGATTCCCGGTCAGGGCACATGCCCAGGTTGCAGGCTCAATCCCCAGTGTGGGGCGTGCAGATTTTTAAAACTCTCTCTTGTCATGGATGTTTTTATCTCTCTCTCCCTCTCCCTTCCTCTCTGAAATCAATAGAAATATATATTAAAAACAAAGAATATAGTAAAGCCAGGATTCAAATCCAGGTCTGTTGGCTTCCACAGCCTATACTCATGACCACTAAGCTCTACTGTCCCCCTTGATTGACTACGGAGCATGCGCTGGGGAGCAAATCTCCCCACCCCTCCTCCCAGCTTGTTAAGATAGAAAGTCTTTAAGGAAGAACCCAGGCCTCGTACTATTTCCGTCTAGCTGGGAGTTCCCAGGTTCTATCATGCACTGACTCCCCCGAGGTTCACAGTGCCGCACCCTATGTCCTCCTCCCATTGTTCTTGAGGTCAGCCTTCCGGCAAGGGAAGGGCCCTGGGGTGGGGCCGGGGCTGCTCACCTTGCAGTAGTATTCTGTCTTCTGCCGGGTGTAATTGATGAACTTGGCAAAGATGCTCTGGCCGCTGCCAAGAACAGTCTGGAAGTGGATGGGCTTTTCAGGCAGCGCTGGCAGAGCCTTCAAGTTGAGCTCATACTGGTAGTAACCCAGATCATTGTTGTGCAGAACTAGTCTCCCCAAGGTTTCTCCAGCTCGCAGGGGCTGGAATTCGAATGAGAATGTGCCCTGCGAGGGAAGACAGGGGCCTCGGTGATGCTGCAGGTCCCGCTTCTCCCCTGCCACCCAGGGACCTCAGAGCAGGTGGGTGGCAGAGATGGTGCTTCACACTGCAGTGCTCACACTGATCTTGAGCCCCGGGAACCTCTGCCCAAACCAGCCCACTTTTCCTCCCCTGTCCTCTTCCCAACTTCTGTTCCAGGTATTTCGAGATCTGGAATCTGTTTGAATCTAAAAATAGGTCAAGGGTCAAGCACACTACAGACCCCTGCCAGGGCTGGCCCGACCTCAGGGGTGCGGAACGTGGATCCAGCGGCCCTGGGGGCAGAGCCTCTGTCACAGCTATCAGGGGCCCCGGGCAGTGGGGTCTTACCTCTGAGTTAGGGGGCACCACGAACTGGGAGGGCAGGTTGATGTCGGGCACCCTGCACTCCGTGGCGAAGGTCACTGAGTAGGGCAGGGGGTTCTCCACCTTGACGGAGGCCGATGTGCTCTGCCGGACGGGGCTCACCATCTCGATGGTTTTCATGACGCCTGAAGGGATGACCCTGAAACTCGTCACGTAGTATAAGAACTCGTTGGTCACCTCGTTTCGGAAGATCACCTGAGTTCACGGGAGAGTGGGAGGAAGCAGGGCAGAGGAGAGGGGTCAGCGGGGGTCATCCTCTCTGCGAGCAATGCCTGGGCACGGGAAGCGTGGGTGCCAGGCTGACGTGGGCCCTCCCATCCTGTCTGCATCCCCACCAGCCGGCCGTGCTCTTTAGATTCTCTGCTCTGGCTCTTCCCAGGTGAGAGGACGTTACACAGCCTGCGTTTGCTTTGGCGGCCACAGCAGCCCTGGCTAGTGCTGCAGGTGAAGGTCTCCTCAGTGGGGACAGCTGACTGGCCCTGAGAACAAGCAGGACCTGGAGAGGTTCATGTTGTAGTGGGTTTCACTCCTATTCTTGTGGTTGCCAGAGTAGATGACGGCGACGACGATGATGATGATGATGATGATGATGATGATGCTGTTGTTGCCAGAGTAGATGACAATGATGATGATGATGATGACGATGATGATGATGATGACGATGGCATCTAACACTTAATGATTTCTGTGTGCCAGGCACCAGCAGTACTTAATTGTTTAATTCACACAGTTTGTAAGTGACATGATGATTCCCCTCACTGTTGTGTTGTTGTTTCTTTAAGATGATGGAAAAGAGGCTTAATAACATGAAGTATCTTGACCAGCATCACATGCAGAGAAGTGTCAGAACCAGGATTTGGTTGGACTGGTTCCGGAGCTCACACTTGTAACTGTCGTATATTGTCCCCTCACCCCTGCAACTGACTTGTCATCGACAGGCTGCTCACCTTTTTAAAGTTCTTTTCCTGGGCCATAACCGGTTTGGCTCAGTGGCTAGAGCATTAGCCTGCGGACTCCAGGGTCCCAGGTTTGATCCCGGTCAAGGGCATGTACCTTGGTTGCAGGCAAATCCCCAGTGGGGGGTGTGCAGGAGGCAGCTGATTGATGTTTCTAACTCTCTATCCCTCTCCCTTCCTCTCTGTAAAAAAATCAATAAAATATATTTTAAAAAATGTTTTAAAGGTCTTTTCCCGGATGACTGATGATGGTGAGCATCTTCTCAGGTGCTGATTGCTCATTCACACGTCTACTTCGTGAAGTAGAGTCTATTTGATTGTTTTGCCCTTTTTAACACTTTCCGTTGTTTATCGTATTATTAGGTGGCCATAGTTCTTAATGTATCTGGCTTTTTACTTTCAACCTCTTCCTGTGTTTAGATTTAGAGTGCTCCTGACACCCTCTGTCTTTTCATTGGAGCATTCAGTCCTTTACATTTAAAATAATTATTTATATGTTTGGGTTGAAGTCTGCCCTCCTTGCTCTTTCTTTTCCATTGGTCTCGTTTTTCATCCCTCTGTTGCGACCTTCCTGTCTTCTGTTGGGTCAGTATGCACTCTTTCAGAATATATTTCATTTCCTCTAATGGCTTCTTAGCTATCTTTTTAAAGGAAAGATTTCTCATGGTTGCTATAGAGCTGACAACGTGAAGTTTTAAATTGTCAAAATTTAGAGTGAGCATTTCACCACTTTCCACTTTCCAACTGACCGTTCATGCCTCCTACCTCACATTTCCCCCGGCACAATGTGGTAGCCTTACTGACCTGGAACTTCATTGACCCGTCCGTCCCATTTTTGTGCTTTTGTCATCGGACCTTTTACTTCTCCGTATAGAAGAACGTCCACTTTACAATGTTATATTTGCTATGAGCTGACAGTTGTCTTTTAAACAAAGTTATGAGAAGAAAAACACGTTTTAATATTTGCCTATTTATTTACCATTTTTAGTGCGGTTCTTCCCTTCCAGCAGACCTAGGTTTCCATCTGGTATCATCTCCCTTCGGAATGAAGAATACCTATTTGCATTCCAATAACGCTAATGCATTCAGTAATGCAAGTCTCCTGGCAATGAATTCTCTCATGTTCTTTTATCTGAAAATGCCTATTTCACTCTCACATTTACAGGATAGTTTCAGTGAATAAAGAATCCTAGGTTGATCATTTCTTTTTCTTTCAGCACTTCGTAGATGGCTTCCGTTCCTTTTGAAGAGAAGTCAGGGGGCACTTTTATTGTTGTCCCCTGTATGTAATAGATCTTAAATCTGGTTGCTTTAAGCTTTTCTGTTTATGTTTGGTTTTCAGCAGTGTTTTTATGATGATCATAGGCATGGTTTCCTTTATATTTTTACTGCTTGAGGTTTGCCAAGTTTCTTGGATCTGTAAATCATTTTAAAAAAACCAAATCAGGGACATTTCAGCCATTATTTTTTCAAATAATTTTCTGTCCCATTCTCACTTTCTTTTCTTCTGACTCATAATACTCATGTATTAGACCACCTTATATTTTTCTCACAGGTTCCTGAGGCTCTGGTTGTTTTTCCTCTATCTTTTTTCTCTGTGTTCTTCAGATTGGAAACTTTCTATTGATTTGTTTCATGTTCAGTGTATCTTCTCACATCTCTCATCAGCTGTCGAGCACATCCAATGCATTTTTCATTTCAGTTTGTTGTACTTTTCAGTTCTAGAGTATCCATTCGGTTCTTTTTCATAGTTTCTATTTCTCTGCTGACATTCTTTATCAGTACACTCATTAAGATAATATTTTATTGAATTACTTAAAATATTTTCTTTCAGTTCTTGAACATGTTTATAATAGCTTCTTTGAGGTCTCTGCCTGCTAAATCCAATATCTGTCCCATCTTGGAGTCAGCTTCCATTGACGGCTTTTTTACAAGTCTAGTAATTTCTGTTTGTGTATTGGACACTGTTGATGATCATTGTAGAGATTCTGGATTCTGTTATCTTCCTTATACGAGTGTTGATTTTATTCTAGGAGGCAGTTCAATCACTGACACTTTAAACTTGTGTAGGTTTGGTTTCATGCTTGGTTAGAGCAGATATGTGGAAACCTCACGGTGTTCCTCAAGACCTTCCAACTTGGTGGGGTTCGCTATCCAAACTTTTTAGTGTAAGGCTTTTCCAGGCTGGTCCTCAGAAGATCTTATCCTATGGACACGGTGCTTTCTTCTGGCCTCTCAGGGATTTCACCTGGGTTACCGGGGTTAAGGAGGTGTTGTTCACGCAGCCTCTCCACTCTGGCTGGGGCAGACCTCCCGTGCTCCCCGGCGCTGATTCATGTAGGGCACCTTCAGTCCTTATCACCCCTGTAGCAGCTGCTGTCTCATGTAGTCTCTTCCTGTGCATGGGCAGTCCACCTTCAGCCAAGGACGTTGAGGGGAACTCCTGTATGGACTTTTGTACGCCCACTCCCTCCCTATCCTGCTCCCTCCTTTCTGCTGCCTTACCCTGCAGGGACCGGCTATTCCGGCTGCACCAAACTCTGATTTCTGTCACCTCAGCTCACTGGGGCTGCTGCGCTTTACTGAGACTCCAGCTCACTGCACTGCAGTCAGGAAACTGTCCCTGGGCAGAGAGCCCGGACAATCATGGGGCTCATACATTCCCTTCTCTCTGATGAATTGCAGTATTGTGCTGCTTGTTTTCCATGACTGAGAAGACGTGCCCCAGACATTTTGTCCAGCTTTATGGTTTATATGGTGGGAGGCCTAGTTACTCCATCATAACCAAAGGTGCTGTTGATTTTTAAAAATGTTGTTGTTATTGTTGATTAAAACACTTTTTTTGTTATTGTCAATTTAAATACTTATTACTGTAAAGAAATTCTGTGATCTGGGCTCATTGTCATTTTTACTCAAAAGTCTTTACACTTACATTTTAATATATATATTTATTTATGTATTTCTGTTCACACCTACAGTTTATGAAAATCTCTATTTTCTCCCTACGCTTCTCTATATTTCCCCATTTACTTCCAACAGAATGAGAACATTATTTTCATTGCCTTATTTTATTCTTTCCCTTCCTAACTTGAGCCCTATGAAGTATTTCAGATTGCTTTCCAACAATTATTTGAAATTACCCATCAATTTAGATTCTTTTTTCATTATATCCTTTTACTTTCCTCTTGGATTCATTTACTTATTTTTTAAATTTTGTTCATTTAAAAAGTTTTAATTTGTAGCACTTTTTTCAAAGATTGTGTATATGGGTGGGATACTTTGAGTCCTTGCATCTTAAAAGTATCTTTATTTTGCTCTCATAATAGTTTTGAGTTCTAGGTTGAAAATCATTCTAAGTAGTTTATATTTTGGGTATATATCTAGGAGTGAAATTGCTGAGTCATATGGTAACTCTATGTTTAAGCATATAAAGAAATGCCAGACTGTTTTCCAAAGTGACTGCACTATTTATATTACCACAGCTAAGGATTCAATTTCTCCGCACTCTCACCAACACCTGTTATTCTTTCCTTTCATCTTTCAATTTCTTTGTACTCATGTGCTAAAGCCTGGTGATATTACTCAGTTCTGTCTTCTCACTTAGAAATAATTCTTCCCCAGAGTTCATTACACTATTCAGCTGTCCTCTATGGTTTTCTTTTAAAAAATGTTTTTATTGATTCTAGAGAGAGTGGAAGAGAGAGGGAGAGAGAGAAACATCCATCGATGTGAGACAGAAATATCAATCAGCTGCCTTCCTCATGCCCCCACACTGGGGATCGAGCCCACAACCCAGGCATGTGCCAGACCAACTGGAATTGAACTGGTGCCCTTTTGGTGCACAGGACAACACTCAACCAACTGAGACACACTGGCCAGGACCTTTACGGCTTTCTATTCCAAATATCCTATTTTTCATTTCCAGGGTCTCCAATTGATTCTCTTCCACAACAGTCTGTTCTTATTTCATGGGTATGATTATCTTCCTTCATTCCCTTAAGGATATCTATATACTAGTATATAAAAGCCTCAGTGCCCGTTACGACCAAACGACTGGAACAACCAGAACAACTGGTCGACCAGTGGCTATGACGCACACTGATCACCAGGGGGCAGATGCTCAACGCAGGAGCTGCCCCCTGGTGGTCAGTGCGCTCCCACAGCCAACCTTCTGCGGCCCCCCCTCCTACTTGCCCCCCCCCCCACTCCCTGATAGGCCTTGATCACCGGCCAGGCCAAGGGACCCCACCCATGTATGAATTTTTGTGCACTGGGCCTCTAGTTGATAATATTCATTGAAAGTCTTCTGTTTGCTTTAATACCTCTTATCCCAGGAGTTCTTTGTTGAGCTGGTATTTCTATTTTATGGTGGCTTTCCCCCCTTCAGATATTTTGTGATTCCTTGATTTTAAGGTTCTCTGTTAACTTGTTTGTGAATGTGATCTGAGTGGAGCAGCCTAACTCAGTGATTGTAGGAGAGGAGATGACATGCTGCTGGGTGGGTTTTGCCAGTATCTCTTCTGGCAGGGGAGATGTGTTCCTACTTTCTGTTTTTTTTTCACATTAAAATCTTTCCCTAAGTAATTCCATTCTCCACATAGTTTTAAATACTATCGATAAATGGGTAATTCCCATATATTATATTCAGCCCTGACGTCTCCTGTGAGTTCACATATGCTGCCTTTCTTCAAAGCACATACCTCATTTTGTAATAATGCATTCATAGTGCAATTATTTGATTAATGTCCATCTCCCTTCACTGGACTGGGTGTTCCATGAGAATAGGGACTGTGTCTATTTTTGATGATTGCTGTGTCAGTAGCACCTAGTATATGGCATATATGCTCAATAGATATTTATTGAACTAATGAATGAATTAGGAAAAACAGCTCCTATATGAAAGATCCCGTGGTGTCTTGGAGTAGATGACTCTGAGTTGAATCCTGACTCTGACATTACTAGCTCTGTGTGTTGAGTGCTCAGCACAATGCTGGACACTCTATGAGCACTCAGAAAATGGGATATTTTATTTGTGTGGCCTGGTATTTGCCAGTCCAGTGTTAAAAACTGCATAAGAGTTTTCATGACTCTTCTTCCTTGAAAGCTTGGCATGGGCCTACGTGATGGCTGGCCGGCCTTGCAATCTGGTCTCATCTTAAAGAGCCTGGGGAACCTGTCTGCCTTTGCCAGGTCACTTTAAATGGTCAGCCCAGCAGGATAAGGATAGGCTGGCTCTGGAGGACTTCTTCACTCCCTAACACCAGGACTGTCAACCTCAGGGTCAGACCTCCAGGGTTCCAGAGCAATGCCTTTGACATATGGATACCTTTGCGCTGTATAGTCCTTCCTTGTGGGAAAAGAAGTTCAGCTTGTAGTCTTTCTTGGATCCAGACAGTACATCAATGTAATCAAGGCCCTTTAAGGAGGCACTTAGGTCTGGCTTCTCTGGTTTCAGCATTTCCACAATGACCCGGAACCTGGGGGAGCCACAGGAGCACAAGAAGGGAGGAGAGAGAAAATGAGATATTTGCCCAAAGAAAGGAACGAAAGGTGCTATCTCTACTCTTGATTTTATGTAAAACACATGGGTCCAGGGTTCTTGCCTTCACTCTGTCTCTAACAATAACAGTAACTGCCATTTACTGACCACCTACTATGTGCCAGCTATTGAGTCCGTGCTCTGCATGTGTTACAGGCCTTTAATCCCTGTGATGTCTGCAGGAGGTGCATGTCATTACCATCTCCATTTACTAGCGAGGAAATGAGGCCAAGAGACGGGAGATAACATGCTCAGGTAACATGACTAGTTATTGGCAGAACTTAGGTGTGGGCCTTGACCCACAATGCTCAGCAAGGGGCCTCTTCTCCCAATCTTTGGCTCCTGAACTATAAAAGAAGGGGACTAGGCTGTTTGGCCTCAAGCTCCTCTAGTCCATGCATTCTTCTCTATTTCCACTGCAAGTCCAAGGTCCAAGGGATGTCCTTCTCTGGCCAGTGGCTTAGGTAATAAGACTGGACACTCAATAATAACCACCATGATTATTGTTATGACAATAGTAATAACTAATATTTTTTGAACACTTATTTTGGGCCAGGCACTGTTCTAGGAGATTCATAGGTAACCAGCCACTCACAGAGAGCACGAATAGGAGAATGTCTCTGGAGGCTTAGAGTTCAGGCAATGCCTGGCCACATCAGGGAACTTGGTCTCTGGCCCTTTTAGCCAATGTCCTCCAGAGGCCCTGACCAGGGGAAGGGCCAGGCTAGACAGTAGAAGTCCTCCTTCTGTCTCCCCCACCCCAACCCCTTGCCCCACTCCCTTACCTCTGGGGCTTGTTCAGCCAGTTGGTGATTGGCAGGAGCTCAGTGTAGGGAGTCTTACATGGCACTTCACGATAGATATTGGCCACGGCTTTGGGGGGCTCGGCAGTCCCATGCAGCGCATATAGCCAGCCAGTTCCATCTGGCAGGGGGAAGAAGAGGGTGCCCTAAGGAGAGGAAGAAATGCAATCAGAATGATACCGAGGGGCCTTTATTAGGCACCTCTCAGGCATGGCAGTCACCCGGGATTAACGGAGGCTCTGCAAATGAGCTTAACACTTTGGGGAAGCAGCTGTTTCAAGATTCATAACAATATTCCCATGTGTTTTAACCAGGGATCACAGACAAGGGGGCTTACTTTAGAAAAATCCCTCCAGGGGAAAATGTTACATACATACATAAGCATATATATTAGAACCATTTATAGGAATATATGGAGATAACTTAAATATTCAACACCTGAGGAATGTTAAATAAATCATGAAACCCTCTTTCAAAATTTTAGGCAACCATTAAAAATGATTATCGCTCTAGCTGGTTTGGTTCAGTAGTTAGTCCATCAGCCTGCGGTCTGAAGGGTCCCAGGTTCAATTCCAGTCAAGGGCACATGCCTGGGTTGTGGGCTCGATCCCAGTAGGGGCTGTGCAGGAGGCAGCTGATCAATGATTCTCTCTCATCATTTATGTTTCTATCTCTCTCTCTCCCTCTCCCTTCCTTTCTGAAATTAAAAAAAATATATTAAAAAAATGATTATCATGAAGACTACCCAATTAAATAGAAAAATGCTCATGATAGAATGTACAGTGAAAATTAACAGAATGAAAAAACTGGGTATGTTTATGATGGCAGCCAAGGCTGTATCTGCATAGTGTTGGGAGTGAAGATACCAGAAGATAGGGTCCCCTCTCGTTCGAACATTCTCTGAGCTGCCAAGCTCTGTCTCCTAACCTCTGTCACACCACTGCTCCCTCCAGTCACGCCAGGACACGAACTGATGGGGTGCTCAGCCTACCTGGTGCTTGCGGTTCTCCACGTTCATGGTGCGGGGCTTGTAGGTGATCTCATAGGGCTTGTTTTGCTGATGGGGCTCCAGAGTGATGAACTCGGGCCCCTCCCAGTACTCGCCCTCAAAGATGGGGTGCAGATTCCAGGTCTGGTTGGTGCGATTTGAAAGCTGGATGGTCTGCGTGTGCTTGGAGCGCACCTGGCAGGTGAAATTTACCGTCTGGAAGAAAAGCGGCACCTTACACAGGCGGTGGAATTGACAAGTTCGGAGTTCAAAGCCAAGTTCAGACTGGAGGTGCATATTGGGAGTTGTCAGGTTAGCAGTTTTTTTTAAGGCGAAAATACTGGATGCAATTATCAGGATGGCACCTTACACAGGCGGTGGAAATGACAAGTTCGGAGTTCAAAGCAAAGTTCAGACTGGAGGTGCATATTGGGAGTTGTCAGTTTAGCAGTTTTTTTAAGGCGAAAATACTGGATGCAATTATCAGGAAGTAAGTGCATTTAGCACACTCCAATGTTAAGAAGAATGAGAAGAGATGGGAGAGTGCATTTAGAAAAAAGCAGGACTTTAAGGACGAATTCCTGACTGGCACACTCCAATGTTAAGAAGAATGAGAAGAGATGGGAAGGAGCAGCTAATCAGGCAGGAAGAGAACCAGGAGAGGGTGGCATCCTGGAAGCCATTTGAAGGAACTGTGTGAAGAAGGAGGTACTTGTTCAGGGTGTCAAATGCTACCAGCAGGTCAACTAAGATGAGGGTGAGAACTGGCCATTGAATGTAACAACATGGACCAATGTGGTATTGGTGTTAAGAGAGTCAAATAGACCAATGGACAAGAATAGAGTTCAGTAATAGACACACACATATATGATCCATTGGGTTTTCACCAAAGTACAAAGGCAATTCAGTAGAGAAAGAATAATCTTTTCAACAAATGGTGCTGGAATAATTAGGTATCCATACAAGTAAAAAGAATTTTGATCCATATCTTGTACTACATACAAAAATGAACAGACTGATGATCTAAATGTAAAACTTGTGTCCTGAATATATAAAGAGCTCTGAAAACTCAATATTAAGAAAACAAACAACCCAATTACAAATAAAAGATGTGAACAAATATTTCAACAAAGAATACATATGGATGGCAAATAAGTATCTGAAAAGATCTGCAACATCATTAGTCATTAGGGAAATGCACATGAAAAACTACCATGAAATACCACTACATGTCTATTAGGATGACTAAAATAAAAAAGAAAGACCATATCAAGTGTTGATAAGGATGTGATACAAATAGAAATGTCAGACATCACTAGTGGGATGTGAAATGACACAACCACTTTGGAAAAACAGTTTGGTAGATTCTTAAGAAAGTGAACATATGTCTACCCTCTGACCCAGCCATCCACGCCTAAGTACCCAAGAAAATGAAAGCATGTGTTCTTGCCAAGATTTGTTCATGTATGTGTATAGCATTCTGTATGTTTCCATTTACATACCATTCTTGAAATAACACAATTAGAGAGATGGGGATCACGTATCATTTTTACCATAAGCAGTGTTACCAGGAACACAGCGGGCAATGCACTGTTAGGTTTCTAGGAACAGAGCTAGCAGAGGGTTAACCCAAGGCCATTAACAACAACAACAACAACACATGGTAAAGGCGTTCACCCTTCACTCGTGGCTTATAACAGAACTTGATCTAGCCAGAGAGGTCAAGGCAAGCTTCCTTGAGAATGTGATGCTTGAATTGAGAGCTGAAGAATGAATCAGAATTAACTGAATGAAGAGGGAAAAAGAACATTCTAGCAGTGGGAAGAGCATGTGCAAAGGCCCTGTGGGGCGGGGGCAGGTCTGAATATTTGAGGTGGGCACCGAGGACTATTTGAACAGAGCATCTGTCTCTGGAAGGCCTGGCTGAGTTCACTTGTGGGGCTTGCTAGGCACACTCTGGCCATGGCCCTTCTGTGGGCAGCACTTACTGACCTCTTTCACTGCAGGTAGTCCCACGCAGACTCCAGACAGGGTTAGGCTCAGAGGAGGGCCTCCCTGGATGAAGCAGAGCAGGTTTTTGTAGAGATTCTCCTTGCCCACCTCTGTGGGGTGGTAGGTCACTTCTAAAGAAACCTCCATGCCTGTAGTGATATATCCTTCTTCTGGGCTGATGGAGAAATTAGGCTCAAATTTTTTGACATCCCATTTAAACCTTTTCCAAGACAAAAGGAGACAAGGAAGACAGTTTACTAGGGGATGTCCTGGGGGTGTCATCAATGCTGCTGAGAACAAGAGACTGGAGGTTCACCCCCTGTGGACTCCATGGGACTGGGAGGAGAAAGATTGCTCGGTAAAGCAGAGGCTGTGGGCAGGGTCCAGGTCCCTCCTGGGTAAGGCAACTCGGCTCCCTCTCAGAGCTGAGCAGGGTGGGAAGTGGCTGCATCGGGGACATACACATGAACATGTCTCCACGTGTGCGCTCAAGGTCGCAAGTGGCTGAGCTAGGACTGGAACCTTCCTCAGGCTGTGGCCCTAACCACTCCCTGCACAGCCTCCCCGGCCAGATCCAGGAGGGTGGAGATGATCCCTTCCTGGGAGAGTTGCATCTGCTCTTGGTGGCATTGGGATGCGATGGCTCTGAGTGGTCATCACTCTGTGGTCTGGCATTTGGTCCAGGCAGGAGACAGAGGGTGGACAGTGTAGACCAATGTGCTTCCAGTGCAAGGGCTGCCACACCGCACCTGCGGGGCTCCATTCGCACTGAGTTTGTGTGAGGGGTGCCCTGCAGGTGTGTGGTGTGCAGCCCGCACAGCTTTGGTGGCAGGCCTGAGCAGTGACTGGGGTGGGCACCTGCTAGGAAGTGGGAAGAGCGTGGCAAGGAGAGCTGCCATAGGTGCACCTGGGTTCCAATTCTGCCTTTCCCACCTCCTGGCTGTGTGACCCCAGGCAAGCTGTCTGACCTCCTTGAGCCGCAAATTCACCTGTGAAATGGGGACAACACAGTACCTACCTTGGGTCCCGGGACAGTCAAATGGGCTCTTCTAGGTAAGAATACTCAGCATTGCACCTGCACCTGGTAAGTTCTTGCTAAATGTGGGGTTTTGGAAAAGGTACTTAATCTCTTTTTACTTCAGTTTTCTCGTCTGTAAAACGGATCAGTCATAGCATTGGTCTCGTAGAATTGTTGGGATTAAATGAGATGAGCCATGCAAAGGGCATCTAACAGGCACTGAGCAAATGTTCTAGAGTATTCATTTTAGTCAGCAGGCCATCACAGTCACATTTTTGAAGGAAGGAAAGAGATGTAAAAAGCAAAGCGAAGAAATAAAAAGTGGCCACACTTGTAAGACAAGTGTCTAATCCCACCCAGGGTCTGAGCGCTCTGCCCCAGCTCCTACCTTGTACCGACGTCGCCCGTGTTCAGCATGAGGATGCGGCGGGTGGCTTTTGTCTGATGCACGACTGGTCCAAAGGGAATATGCTGCTGGTCCAGGGAGACCTCCAGGGCTTGGCAGCAGCCGCTGAGCAGGAAGAGGGGGCGCAGGAGCCCCATGCTCTCCATGAACACTTCCTCGGAGAAGAGGGGGACACGCTTCTTCGGGGCAAAGATGATCTCCAGCTTTCGGACTTCTTTGGGCTTCAGCGTGATGTTGTTGAAGGGGACCAGGGTGATGACCTGGGCAAGAGGACAGTGAGCTTCAGCAGCTGAGGGCAGGGGGCTGCTGAGGCCTCCATTCCTGGAGGTCTTGCTGCTGGGGTGGTAACAGCCCAGGGGGAAAATCTCACTGCTGCTCTCCCTTCCCAGCTGTGCCATCTTTGACAAGTGACTTAAACTTCCTGTGACTCATTCAGCTAGATCCGTGGTCGGCAAACCGCGGCTCGCGAGCCACATGCGGCTCTTTGGCCCCTTGAGTGTGGCTCTTCCACAAAATACCACGTGCGGGCGCGCACGTACAGTGCGATTGAAACTTCGTGGCCCATGAGCAGAAGTTGGATTTCGGAAAGGAGTCAGACGAAACAAGTATACAAGTGTGGATGGGAGAGTTGGAAGGGGTCGACCTCAGCGAACGTACCTCAATCAGATTGAGGACGTTTTTAGCAAAGGCCAGCTTAGGAGTACCCTCATTAAGTTAATAACAATGTGCCTACCTGTATAGTTTAAGTTTAAAAAATTTGGCTCTCAAAAGAAATTTCAATCATTGTACTGTTGATATTTGCCTCTGTTGACTAATGAGTTTGCCGACCACTGAGCTAGATCATCTATATAAAATGTCTGGCACAGCCCAGCTGGTGTGGCTCAGTGGTTGGGCGTTGACCTATGAACCAGGAGGTCACGATTTGATTCCCTGTCAGGGCACCTGCCTGGGTTATGGGCTCGATCCCCAGTGTGGGGTGTGCAGGAAGCAAAGGATCAATGATTCCCTCTCATCATTGATGTTTCTCTCTCTCTCTCTCTCTCTCTCTCTCCTTTCCTCTTTGAAATCAATAAAAATATATTAAAAAAATAAAATAAAATGTAGGGCACATAATAGGCACTCAGTAAATGTTAATTCTCTTTCTAACCCCTTGCGAAGAACCACTGCTCTCTGCTGGAGGAAGCAGAAGTTGCAGTAACACTCAGTGCTCTGTGGATTTTGAGGAGCGCTCCCCAGCTCCTTGCGCGGGGTACAATGCAGATTCCTGGGCCCTGCCCCAGGCTGGCTGGGTCAGGGTCCTTGGAGGAGCCTGGGACCTCATTTTCAAAGGTGCCCTGGGTGACTCGTGAGTTCTAAAGTTGGAGAGCCACTGTCTGAATTTGTGTGGTCCCTTCTCCCCGCCGGTCCTGGTAAAGGCAAATCAAAATCAGCTCGAAGGAAGCCAGACCCCTTTTCGACCTTGAGCTCCCTCTGGTCCAGAGCTGGGCAGTTGCCAGCAAGTGGACCCAGGCAGCAGGGCGTGAGATAACGGGCCGAGAGGCTGCAATAGCAAAGCGATCCTAGCACATTCTCAAAACACAACGATGTTGGAAGCCATCCCCAGGTGACGGTGTCAGCACAGGTCCCTGGCAGCTTGTGTCTGATCAACCAAAGAAGCAGGTGGGTAGGCAACTGTGAGGGCCCTGACCTCTTGGAAACCAGGACTCTAACTTGGATTAATGAGGCGCGCGAAGCCTTATTAGTGGAAAGACAGGCACCAAAATGTTAAGTGATTATTGCTCTCTTTCTCTGGATGGCAAAGTGCGCAACATGGGTGGAGATACCCAGTGTGTCTCTGGCTTTGGCTGGCCTCTCACGGCCAGTGTTTCTGTGTCCTGCATCCCCGAGGTGGTCCACAGTGCTCCTGTCGCACTGAATCACATCTGGGTTTCCAAAAGCACCGGCTCTTTCTGGCCGGTGCACCTTTGCCTGCCGGAAACACCCCCCCCATCTGCCTGGGAGATACCTCTCCATCCTGTAAAACTCAGTACAGCCCTCCTCTGAGCAGCCCGCCCCTCTTCCGATCCTCTGGGAAGTACTTAGGTTTAGATGAGGCCATGACAGAGGGACCCTCCTGATGGGATGAGATACACTGGAAATCTCAGTCTTGCTTGCTCTCTGCTGTGTGTGCACACAGCCAGAAGGTGGCCGCCTATAAGCCAGGAGGAGAGCCCTCACCAGAAGCAGACCATGCTGGCACTCTGACCTCACACTTCCAGCTTCCAGAACTATCCTATATAATAAAAGCCTGTTCAACCAGTCACTATGATGCACACTGACCACCATGGGGCAGACGCTCCTACCGGTAGGTTAGCTTGCTGCTGGGGTCCGGCTGATTGGGACTGGGCGAGCCGGGCTGGACATGCCCTGGAGCCCTCCCGAGGTCCCTCCCCGGCCCCCATCGTGCACCAGTGGGGTCCCTCGGCCTGGCCTGCGCCTTCTCGCAATCCGGGACCCCTCGGGGGACATCAGAGAGCCGGTTTTGGCCTGATCCCCGCAGGCCAGGCCAAGGGGTCCCACCGGTGCACGAATCCATGCACTGGGCCTCTAGTGAGAAAATAAATGTCTGCTGTGTAAGCCACCCAGTCTACTTTGCTAGGGCAGCCCAAGTTAAGACACATCTTTATATTTTTAGCACCTCGCACATATTTACTGAGTAAATGGAAGGGGATGGATACATTTACCCTTGGGATGAATGAAGCACACCTAGTCCATTGGCCAGGGGCCACCCAAATACTGATGACTGTAAGATGGGGAGCAGGCAGCTGGGACTGGTAGCTCCTCTCTCCAGGGAGCTTGGGACATGGACTTAGGAATAAGGGTGCATCTCACACAGATGAAGAGTGCAGAGGGGACACCCTTTCAGGGGCAGATGGTGATGGGTACTGAAACATACTCTTCTTCTTGACCCACAAGCCCTCTTCTAGGAGTCTGCCATGAGAGGGAGCCATGGATGCACACAAAGCTTTGGTTGCATGGACATGACCTTGCTGCTTATAACATAGAGCGTTAGAAACACCCGAGTTGAGCAGAAATAGACAGTTGGTCTATCTACATAATGGAGGGAGCAGTGAGCACGTGGCATTGGAGGGCAGGGAAAATATTTATGATGTGTTCCTAGATGGGTTCAAAATAATACGAACATTGTCATTTTATTTTTGTAAAAAAATGTGTAGGAAAAACACGGGAAAGGTAGGCATCAAAATGTTCAGTGATTATTTCTGGGTATGAGATTATGGGCAAAATGTTTTCCTTTATGATTTTCTATACTGTATTTTTCAAACTGTCTGCAATGAAGATCTGTGTTTATTCATTAGAATTTACTGCCTCCCATCAAGTCCACTCCTTCTGCTTCACTCTGCTGCCCTGTAGAGGGATGTTGCCTCTTTAAGCCTCGCTTTCCTTGGATGTGAACTGAGCGTAATAAAAGCACGGACCCTGGACTGTTTCTGTGAAGGTGATCAGAGATGGCACATCGAACGCTGTTAGCACGTCCTGGCACAGTGAAGGTGCAGGAGAACTGTGAACTGTTAGTGATGTTAGCCTGGTCGTCCGTGTCATAGGGAAGCATGGAGAGGCCACTGGGAGCCCCGAGCACCCACCTTAGGCTCCCGGAGTTCTGGAGTCGAGAACAGGACCGACTGGCTAAATGTGACCGGGGCTTGGCTGTTGTTCATGATGGAAACCGTTTTTTTCACCACCTGCCCTGGCTGGGCAGCTCCTAACTTCAAGATCCTATTGGCTGGATCTAGGACTAAAATCTGTGGGACGAGAAAGAGAGCAGGGAGGGAGGGTTTGTCAGTTAACGAGAAAAATGAATATCCCACATCTATCTGGGGGAGCCAAGGGTGGTTCCTCGCTTTCCGTGTCCCCCAGTCTTCACATTAGATGAGCCTTCACTCGCTCAATAACATTTATGTGCATAAAATGCCCACTAAACAACAATGACATAATTACAACTGGGTTAATAGACGTGACGGAAAAGCTCAGGGCACCTGGGGAGCCCATTACAGGGGACTGAGATAGATGGGGGTCTGGGGACCGCCCCCTCCTCCTTAGGCATGTTTACACTGAGAGCTAAAGGAAGGGTAGGATCTAGTCCGGGTGAGTCAGGGTGGGGTTGGCGAGCACCTCTGGGGGAGGAATGAGGTGCTGAGCTGGAGGGGGTGGCTCAGTGGCTGGGAGGGAGGGGGAGACTTGAGAAGATTAAGTCTGGGGGGTGGTCAGGTTTTATTCTGGAAGGAAGACAATGAAGCATGGAGTGACCCCACCGAATGTGTATTTTGTGAGAGCGCGGCTCGCTCCCCTGCGGAGATGGACAGGAGGAGGGCCTGAGAGAAAGCCTCGGGTGTGAGGAGGATGGTGATTTCAACTACAATGGCCGCAGCAGAGGCGGACATTTCCAAGTCCCCATCTGAAGCTCGGAACACAGCGTTGGCCTGGACCCGAGGACAGTCAGGCTGGGCCTTCTCCTCCAGGAGGACACTGACCCACACGGAGCAGCAGCCACTGGTCACTGTCATTCCACCAGTCACTACATTGAGCTCTCTCCCTCCAGCCGTCTTTGTATCTGGCCCACATGCTTCCATTTTGTCTGAAAAAGCGAATCTTCAGCACCAGCCTGTGAGCTCTTGGAAGCCAGAGAACATATTTAAATCACCTCTGGGTTTTCCCAAAGTACCTGCTACGTAATGAGTGCTGAGTGAGTGCATGAAAGCCTGAGCAAATGAACGGATCAATGACATCAGAAGAGAGCCCGTCCCTGGCTTGGGCACAGACACGCCAGGTGGCATTGCCCTGGGGCACCTTTGGCTTCATGGGAACACACCCCTCCCATTTTCTCCTGATTGCTGACCTGTCCCACGCATCCCTGAGACTCTTGGAAGACCTTCAGACTTCTAAAACCTCCTGCTAACCATTTGTATGCCATAAGCGTGTACAGACGCAAGCGGCGGACCTTTTCAAATTAAAGTCAAAATATCGTGGCCGATAACTGGTTAAATGCAAATACTCCCACCAGACAGACCCTGGGAAGAAAGGGATGAGCAGCAGGACTGGAGCATCCCCTTCCTATTAGGAGCACCGGGCAAGAAGGAACCCCTCAGAGAATCTAATCCTGGGACCTGGGGCTGACCGGAGAATGGGCATCCCTGTGGTGGTGAGGGAAGATGTCCATGACTGAGACACATGTGTGCATACGTTGCTTCAAACAAGTCTTGCCTATTACACCTGAAAACAAAACATGCCCTGACGTGGGAGAAAAAGGACATGCTTGGGACCCTACATCTGACAGCCTCAAACTTCCCCAAGAAAAAGACCATTTTCCGGCGCCTGTTCTTCGATACAGTACAGTTTGGAATTGAGTAAGATCCATGATTCACTGATTGGCTAACTCACCCCTCAGTGGGACTGCTGACCTGCAGCAGAGCAGCTTAGGGCAGGAGATGGGGAGAGGGGAGGGAGGGAGTGGGCGCAGGTGGGCCAAGGGGGCTGGGAAGGGCAGGGAAGCTGTCAGTCTGAGGGTCTCCTCTTACCTTCATTTCGGTGCCTTTCCCTTTGATTTCAACTACTTGTTGGGAGAGCCCGTTGATTTCAAAGGGGATGAGTTCTCGATAACTGATACTTTCTCGAGGATAAAAGGTGATTGGAATCTCCATTGACTTTCCTGGCTTTATCACATCCGCACGGAAGCTCACCTCGAGGTAGGTGGTATTGGTGTACAAACAATCTATGCTGGAGACAAGCAGGAGGAAGGTGCATAAGTTCTGAGAAGGCTGACCCAGGGGGACTGATGTGGCCCCGTCCTCCCCACCCCACTACCGCCCCCCACCTGAGCTTGGTCCTAATGGATTTCCTGCCCTGCTGTCCTACAGTCAGAGCATTTAAGGGCTGAAAAGGACCCAGCAATGATCCAGCCCACATTCTCCTGGGCAAAGTCAAGCTACTTACCTCAAATAACACCATGAGGTCCTGGCAAAATCAGGCCTCAAACTCAAAGTCCCATGACCCTTTGCCCAGTGCTCTTTTTTTAAAAAAATAAGTTTTTATTGATTTCAGAGAGAGAGGAAGGAAGAGGGAGAGAGGGAAAGAAACACCAGTGTTGAGAATCACTGATCCACTGCCTCCTGCACACCCCACACTGGGGATTGGGCCCACAACTGGGGCATGTGCCCTCCTGGTTCATAGGTCGATGCACAACCACTGAGCCACACCTGCTGGAGGAGCCCATGGCTCTCCAAGCACGCCGCCTGCCTAAAGGCTGTAGGAAAAAATAAGTTTTTATTGATTTCAGAGAGAGGAAGGAAGAGGGAGAGAGGGAAAGAAACACCAATGTTGAGAGAGAATCACTGATCCACCGCCTCCTGCACACCCCGCACTGGGGATTGGGCCCACGACTGGGGCATGTGCCCTCCTGGTTCATAGGTCGATGCACAACCACTGAGCCACACCTGCTGGAGGAGCCCACGGCTCTCCAAGCATCAGCGTCAGTGGTGGGGAAAGGAGACTGGGGATTCATGTCCACCTGTGTCTGACTCATCCCCATGACCCTTCTCCTTCTGTCATGGCTGCACGCCGCCTGCCTAAAGGCTGTAGGGCCCACCAGGAGCTGCAGACTCATCTGGGGGCTCTGGGAAGTCTGCTCACCTCATAGCCGTTTCCTCCTTGTTGGTGATAACCAGGGTCTGTTTGTATGGGGGCATCCCGGCTTGGTAGATGAAGCAGGTCCCAAAGTTGTGGCTGGTGAATGAGAAATGGACAGCAGGGTTCACGGCAGAGCCTGAGATGCTGCACGTAAATGTCGGACCGTGGCTTATCTGTGGGGAGGAAACGGCAGGTGGGGTGTGATTAGGAGAAGTGAGAGGAAAGGGCCCTTAAACCCTCAGGTGAAGGAAGGAAGCAGTCAAGTGTTTAAAAAAACACACACACAGGTCCCAAGGTTCCATCTGCAGAGAGTCTAACTCAGAGGTTAGAAGTTTATTTTTTAAAAATATTTTTTATTGGTTTCAGAGAGGAAGGGAGAGGAAGAGAGGGATGGAAACATCAATGATGAGAGAGAATCATTGAGTGTGTGCCTCCTTCATGCCCCTACTGGGGATGGAGCCCACAACCCAGGCATGTTTCCTCCCCTCTCATCAATCTCCCTTGTTTATTTTATTTTGTAAAATATGCTTTTTATTGATTTTTAGAGAGAGAGAGGGAGGGAGAGGAATCGAGAGATAGAAACATGGATGAGAGGAACATCGTTGATCGGCTGCCTCCTGCATGGCCCCTACTGGGGATCAAGCCTACAACCTGATTCCTGATCAGGCATGTGTCCTGATCAGGAATCAGACCGGTGACCTCTTGGTTCCCAGGCTCCCTGATTTACTTTAATGGCTGCACGATATACCAGTGCATGGGTGCTTAATTGCTTTTCAGTTGACAATCACCAGGCACCTGGGTGGAGGCCATTACTAGAGAGTATGGGACTATCTCCAACACAGCCACTCCCCAGGGGCTTCTGGCAGGTAGAGAAGACCAGAAACACTCAGGAGAATTCTTCTTCCAAGACAGGATGCTGTGAGTATGTTCAGTGTTGGACAGTGTTCAATGGTCTCACCTTGATTCTGAGTTCCAGGCCCTTCAAGACACATTTCTTAAATGGTTGGAAGGACAGGCTGGCGGGTGTACTCTGCCCCACATCCACGCTGCCCTCCATGGGTGAGAACTCGAAGTACTGCACCAGGGCTTTGGGGCCGGAGAGCTCTGCCTGGAAGCTGAAGTTGAACTTCCCAGCGTTGATAAAGGTGAACTCACACTGGACACACTCATTCAGCTCCACCTGAGAGACAGAGCACAGGGCAGTATGTTGAGTGAATGCAAGCCATGGTTCACTCCTCTGGGATCAGGATATGTAACATGTTGGGGGAATATATCCCTTGGAAAACAGACATGTAAGATGATGTTAGTGAGTTGAACATCATTAGATGAATGTGGCCAGATATCCCAGCGAGGGCTATGAAGTGCTGGGGGCCCCTCATATATGAAGAGTAAGAGGGCAATTTAGTTCTCAGACCTCCCTTGGTAGCCAAACATCCTGCCTATCTGCTTAGCACAAGCATTCTTCCCCTCCCCTACCATCTCTCCATCCCTTGAAAAATAAGAAAACATTCACATCAAACTCATACACATTCTGGGGATGGAGCGGCTCCTGGTACATTTCTATATTCTCCTGGTCTCCCTGGCATTTGAAACAGAGAGATTCAGCTAAGAAGAACAGTCACTGGTACTGCCTTTCCCAGCCAGCGCAGAAACCAAGAGGGAGCAAGGCCCTCTCACACCTTTACCTCATAGAAGTTGACAATGGTGGTCTGACTGGGAGTCAAGAGAGTGAGTAAGCCAGTCCTGTCTTTGCACTTGATCTCCGCATTCATAGTGTAGCCCTCAGCCTTGACATTTAAGGTCAAAGGGTGTGCTTTCCTTTTCACATTGCAGATCAAATTAAAGTTCACATCTCCTTCTTGCTTTGGTGTGAAGAGAATGTCAATTTGTAACCTGGTTGGGGAAGATGGCAGCAGATTAGCTGACAAGGCCACCTGCTACAGCCTGCTAGAGAACATGAGCCCAATAGGTTAGCAGATACACTCTGAGGAAAAGGTGTTATAACTCCACATTATGATGAATTTTTAAAACCATATTTTTATTGATTTCAGAGAGGATGGGAGAGGGAAAGAGAGAGATAGAAACATCAGTGACAAGAGAGAATAATCGATCAGCTACCTCCTGCATGCCCCACCACCTGGGCGTGTGCCCTGACCAGGATTGGAATCGTGACCTCTTGGTTCATAGGTCAATGCTCAACCACTGAGCAACACCAGCCAGGCCAAATTATGAATTCTGAAGGTTTTCCAGGCAAGGCAGGACATTGCTTTATGGATTTACAAATATAGTAGGTAGCAAGAAAAAGAATATATATAAGAAAAAATACCGAAAACAAGGGCTTAAAATTCTCAATACTACACAATTCGGCAGGGAAATGAATAACAGGGAATAAGTAGGAGAGAGATGGAATTGTTACTATCTAAGGGAAACTGATTCTCTTGGCTGCCAGGCCTGGGACTCCGGCCATTTTGGGAGGTTGAAGTCTTGGGGGCCTTCCTATTTCTTTACCTGGACATCGGTGGGAGCCAGCCTTCCATGGGACTCACGACCAGGCTTTCGTTGAAACCTTCAGAATACCGGGAGTTGTCCTGGAAGGCAAAACTGAAGCCCTGCTCCTCCCTGTTGATGATCTGCACGGTCTCCCGGACTTCTCGGCCTGAGGAGGAACATCAGCCCTCAGGAGCAGCCCGGCCATCGGGGGAGCAGCCACCTGCCTGCTCCTGAAGTGTCTCAGCAGACACTGCTCGCAGGCGAGAGGAAGTCTTCTTCCAAGAGATTCTCCAACCCCTTTTCTTTCCTCTTCCAAGCTCCTCGGCCGTTGACTACCTCTGTCTTCCTTTCCCTCTGCAAGTGACCTTCCTCCCCCGGAGGGACTCCAGCTCTTACTCTAGAACTTGACCCCATCAGCTGCCCGCTCCTGCTAGGTGGCTCCTCTGCTCAATCCCAGCTCTCCGGGGATCCTGGTGACACTGCTTTCCCTCCTTGTTCCTTCAGACCCAAGGCCTTCCTTCTTTTGCTAAGGGGGCTTCACCTTCCTTGGTAGGCCCCTTAACTCTGCCCATGCCTTTGTCAAGCAGGAACGCCCCCTGCATTGAACGCTTTAAATTAGATCCCGTGCATGTCATGAATCTTGACAGGGCCCTGACTACTGCAGCTGCTATTACTATTTTGCTTTTTCTTACTTTCCTCGACTATTTTAGAGAATTTATTTTTCCACATAAACTTCGAATCATTTTATCCACTTCTCTTCTTCCCCCCGCTCCCCGACCCCTCCCCGGCCCCCGTAACCCTTTGGGATTAAGGTTACCAGATGAAGCAAAAATTTTTTTCGTATATGTCCCAAATGTTGCATGGGACATACTTATGCTGACATACGGATTCTAATATTTATTCACTGTTACCTGAAATTCAAATGTAACTATGTGTCTGTATTTTACCTGGCAACCCTAGCTGAGATTCTAATCGGAACTTGATTAAATTTGCATTTGCTTTTGGGAGAACTGACAAATATTCAGATCTTGGTTAGGGGCATTTTAATAGGATTTCTATAGTTTTCTTCATATAGGTCCTGTGCTGTTCTTGTTATGTTGATCCTTAGGTGTTATATAGGTTTTGTCAACACTAAATAGAATTTTTTGTTTGTTTCTAAGTGCTTAGTACTAAAAGAAAGAGACACTATTGATTTTGGTATACTTGTCCTGCATCCAGCCACTTACTAAAAATTGTCTTGTTCATTTAGTATTTGTGTTGCTTTTCTCTAGAGCAGCGGTTCTCAACCTATGGGTCGCGACCCCTTTGGCGGTTGAACGACCCTTTCACAGGGGTTGCCTAAGACCATCCTGCATATCAGATATTTACATTACGATTCATAACAGTAGCAACATTACAGTTATGAAGTAGCAACAAAAATAATTTTATGGTTGGGTCACAACATGAGGAACTGTATTTAAAGGGCCAGAAGGTTGAGAACCACTGCTCTAGAAGTTCTCTATGTCTGAAGTAATCAACACAGCAATATGAGATAGTGTTGTCTCATTTTCCCTCAATGTTTTAGCCAATTATTTAATTTTCTTGTTTTATTGTATTTGCTAAAGTCACTAAAAAATGTTCAACAAGCCCTAGCCAGTTTGGCTCAGTGGATAGAGCCCTGGGCTGAAGAAACTGCAAGGAAATGAAGACAGTCAGTCCAGGCTCTAAAGGAATCTTCCAAGGAGGACCTGCAACAAGGCTCCTAAATTTCCTTTGGTTACGGGTGCATGGGTTTAGAACATCCTTGGTGGAAACTGGATTGAGAGGTAATTATTCTGTGGCTTGGTGAACAGTGAGAACGGGCCTCAGGCATGCTGCTGGAAGGCGCCAGGGAAAAGTCCCCACCCCAGGCTGCTCCTGGAGCCCAGTGCTGGGTTGGTCCCACGTCCCTCCCTTACCGGTCATGCCAACTCTAAATGTAAACCTCCAGGGCAGCCTTACCAATGAGGAGACAGCTGAAGTTGATGTGTGACTTGTCCAGATTGACCAGGGGGTCAGAGGCTTTGCCTACCAGCAGGAAAGGGACTGTGATGTTGTGCTCGGGGACTGAGAAAGTCCAGAACGCTTCTGTGATTTTCAGATGCAAAGGCGTGAACTGGAAGATAATCTGAGAAGACAGTTTGGAACACAGTGGGAAGAGGCACTTCTGTTTACTTACCCCACGTGCCCTTAGAGTAGTGGTTCTCAACCTGTGGGTCGCGACCCCTTTGGCGGTCGAACGACCCTTTCACAGGGGTCGCCTGAGACCATCCTGCATATCAGATATTTACATTACGATTCATAACAGTAGCAACATTACAGTTATGAAGTAGCAATGAAAATAATTTTATGGTTGGGTCACAACATGAGGAACTGTATTTAAAGGGCCAGAAGGTTGAGAACCACTGCCTTAGAGGCTTGTCGGCACTGGGGTTCTGATGGCTGATGTTACCAGGTCACCACTGCCTTTCTACCCTCTCTGAAGGGCATGTAAGTCTGGCTGTTCTGTCTGATTGCCCTGCTTGCCCACAGGTCTTTCTAAGCGGGTCTACACCATCCGCAGCTTCTGTTGGCTAGGCTGCCGTATTCACACCGGGTCTTTGGATGACATGTACAAATGGAGAGATTCAGATAGGAATTTGGAATTTTGACTTTTCCCGAGAAGTTTGGGAGAGTTGGCAACCCTGGCCCACTGTCTGTGTGGTGGTGATCTGCCGGGGAAGCACTGTGGCCAGCCAGCTCTGCCCGGCACTCCGTGTCAGGGTCCCCTTGGCCTGCATCATTCGTTTGGGTGACCTTCCTGGAGGCAGCCGAATGCATAATTTCTGTTCCCCGGATTTGTTTCTGCCTCTAAGATTCCCTGCAGGACTTACAGGACAGGGGACCCGCAGGTCTGTTTTGACCAGCGAGCTCATGTTTCTTTAAGCTGGACCCCCTCCCCTGTGTCACTGTGGAAACAGCAGGACTGAGACATGGGACATGACGCCAGTGTTCTGTGTTGACTTTCGTCCAGACCAAGTGAAAACACATGTGTGTCCTTTCACAGCTGTCAGTCCCTTGGACAAAAATAACATTGTCCCATAGTGTCCAGGCTTTGGTGGGTGTCCAGCTTCCCTGTTCTGCTTTAATAATCTCAATTTTTTAAAACCCCAAATACTAGAGATCTGCTTCTCCATGGCCAACCAAGTGAGCTCAGGCCTGTCTTGTCCATGAGGACTGCCTAACCCCGTGGTCGGCAAACTGCGGCTCGTGAGCCACATGCGGCTCTTTGGCCCCTTGAGTGTGGCTCTTCCTAAGCCTTAGGAGAACCCTCATTAAGTTAATAACAATGTACCTACCTATATAGTTTAAGTTTAAAAAATTTGGCTCTCAAAAGAAATTTCAATCATTGTACTGTTGATATTTGGCTCTGTTGACTAATGAGTTTGCCGACCACTGGCCTAACTTATATGGTAGCCACTCAAAAAACACGTGTGGATGGACGCACCCTTAGGCTGTCCTCCCTAACTCTATCTCTGGTCTACGGCACGCTTGCTGTGCAGAGAGAGATAGAATGATTGAAGCCCTGGGTCGAGCAGTCCTCATACACACACACACACACACACACACACCTCGGCTTTCTTTTCAGGGTGGATGCAGCCCTTCTCTGTGAGGCAGGTGAAGGCTGAAGGGTTCTGGAGACTTTCCATTTCTTCAGAGACCCAGCGGAAGCAGTAGATGCTAGCGGTCGGGTTCAGGATGGTGAACGTCCTGGCCGAGGGGGAGGAATTGACAGCAGAGAGTGAGAGGGAGGGTTGAGGGTTAAGAGACACTTTCTCAGGACCTAACTGCCCTGGCTCGGTCCCCCTACGTGGGAACCAGAACTGTTGCAGATACTTTTTTGCTGTAGAAATAAAAACCACACCTCATGTGGGGGTCTAACGTATGGCTGGAGCTCCGGACTTTGGAGTAATAATGGTGCTGAGGGCCCTTCTGTCCCAGTGATCCTCTGTGGTCAAGCTGGTGGTTAGGGATTCTATGCCTTCTAAATGCCCCCCTGCTCCCCCCCCCCCCCCCCCGTCAAAACTAAGGAGACTGAATTCAGCTTCCTTACTGTAGCAGCCCTCTCAAGTCAAACCCCAGCATATCAAACTGCTTCTAGAAACCCATCCAGCTCGATTCTCTGAATTCTTCCTCTGAGTTCTGTAGAAGGATTGACTGATATGAACTCAACTGATGCAAACCGAGGCAACTCACCGGAGATTCTTCCCTCCTATGCCCACACTGGTGAACTCGATCACCCGGGTGTTTGGGTCCAGAGGCCCACCACCAGGCCCTCGGAGATCCGGGTTGTGCCGATGAGCAGTGATGTAGTCCGACTCTTTCAGTTCAAAGTGGCAGATGGGCAAGAAGCTCCGTCCTTTTGCTGATATGACTGGGCCTTGCTCTCCAGGTAGTAGGTTGGGAATCCTGAGAGGATATGGTTAATTTTATTTATTTTTTAGTTTTAGCCAATTGTTGCTTTCTTCGTTGGTTGGAAACGAATATTACATCTACTAAAATATGAGCTCCATGAGCATAGAGGCTGGTTCTATCTTGGACAACAACAGAACCTCAGTGTCTTGACCAGTACATAGTAGGTATTCATTAATTAGTGGTTGAGTGGATGAATGCGTGAATAGGCTGAGTATGAGGAGCCTGAATTCTGGTCTCTTCTGTGTCCCTAAGTGTGTTACTGAGGTACTTCCCACACCAGGGTTGAGAACATCTCCCTGCTATAAAATGAGCACAGAGGCGTACCCTCTGGCCCTCTCAGAGGCATTTGTGGGATATAGAAAGTGATGCCGAGATCCTAAAAACGTATCCTGAGCTCCTCGGAGAAAGTGAACTGGATGTGAGCAGACTTTCAGCCCTAGATCCAAGTTGAGGTGGCCCAGGTGCAGGAGGGTCCCTGCAGTGTGACTGCAGGAGGCTCTTATGGCTCACATATGTCCCTGCCACACTCAGCCATGGTTCATGGGATCCTTCTGTAGTAGTTCTCCATGGAGCTGCCCTGGGAGTGGGTACCACATCAGGGACTCTCATGGCCAGGAGCTATTGGATTGGTTTTCTCTAACTGGGTCTGGACCCCATCTCTTCCTTGCTTACCATGCACCAGGTCTACAACCTCCACCGTCCCCACCACCTAATGCTTGTTGTGCTTATTGTGTGCCAGGCACTGTTCTAAGCTTCAGGGAGTTAACCTCATTCAGTCTTAACTCCAACTCTGCAAGGTGTTATTGTTATTTGCATCTTATAGTCAAGGAAACCTGGTATCAGTAAAGGTTCAAGAAAGCCTTCCTAGGTTCATGCTTGTCCCAGGACTGGAACCCATCTGGCTGCCAACTATTTTGTTGCCCAGTGGACTTTTGTCTGGGGCCAGGAAGAGAGAGGTGGGGCAGAGGGAGGGTCTAGAGAGGGTTGCTGAGCAACACAAAAGACTCCATTCTCCTTGTTCTCCAAAAGCTAGCGCCTTTGAATCTTTCCAGAGCAAAATGTGGCAAGTTGGGGCTGTGGAGGGCCCCGGGTTGGGAAGAATGGTGGTCATGGTGGCAGAGAAGAGGGACAGAGCTTCGTCTGGGGAGCACATCTCCTTACTGGCAGATAATAGTGGAGGGGCAGAGCTTTGTCTGGGGAGCACATCTCCTTACTGGCAGATAATAGTGCTCTCGAAGTCTCCAGCCTCCAATGGGGAGAATTTCACTTGGATCTTCTCAGCCTTCCCCACGGGCACAACGCCGGAGACGGGATCCACAGAGAAGGACAGTGGGGAAGGTTCAGTCCAGTGGTCCACGGCGCTGTCCGCGGTGCTGCCCTGGCTCAGCTGATCTTTTTGAGAACCTGGGGGCAGACAGAGAGCCAGTGACATTCTGCATTTGCAGTGGGAGGACAAGGAGAAGGCATCCCACTCGCAGGTCCTTAGGGACCCTCCGTGGGGTCTGGGAGCTCACCTCTTCTAGCAGATATAGTTAACTTTAGGCTCTAGGGGTAAGGAATTGACTCCTAGCTCTCACAGGTGACTCGTGAAAAAAATATTGTCATTAATTCCATCAAGCTTTCAAATTTGTTTCCCTTTGGTCCAAGGGAGTGGGCCAAGTAGATACCTGTGGGTCCTGTGCCTCAAAAAGAATGGGTAGTAAACCTAGTTTTTGGAGAATCACTGTTTTAAAGTAGGAGTTCGCGATCCGGGGCCCAAGGAAAAGGGCCCGTTTGGAAGGTCCAGGAATCTGTCATATCGAAGCAGGAATAATGGATATTTTCCTGCCAAGTGCTGGGTCCCTTTTTAAAGTGCTGCACGTGCATCAGCTGCAAGTCGGGCAAGGTATGTGATTTCCTGGGGAGACAGCTCATAGCTTTCACCATTGTCTCCAAGGGACTGTAATCTCCTAAAAGGTTAACATCGAAAAGATTCCTGGGGACCTGAGCTGGGATGCTGGCCTTGTGAGAGGTGGGGAGGGGGCAGGGTCCAGGCCCCAGGAGGGCAGAGGTCAGCTCTTGAGTGTCTCAGGCCCAATGGTCTCTACAGACACCAGGAGGCCTCAGCTCTGCTTCTCCAAAGCTCCTTGGGAGGGCCGAGGGAGCAAGGCTCTTCTACTAACCGGGCACTCCGTTCACACCCCAGGTTTTACCTGCCATCACATTTACCTTGGTTTTCTGGCATTGCAAAGCTGACAGTCTTCGCTGTCTCTTCCAAGATCCAGCTGAATTCCAGCTGCACACTTCCTGTGTTAACCAGCTCCAACCTGCACACAGACGGGGGAACGCATTTGAGAAACGTGCTGCAAATGATTTGTGTCTTGTCGGCACATCCGTCATCTAAAACTGTGACTTTTTCCTTTGGGTGAAGTCACTTTGTTTTTAAAATATTTCTTCAAAAGGCAAGTTTTAAGCAATGTTATCTGAAATCATGCATTTGATGTACCGATTACATTTCCTTCCAAAACACAAAATATATGCATAGCCATTGAAAGTGAAAATATCCACGTTTAGCCCTTAAAGTCATCCACTGGCACCTTATGCGATGAACTCTCAGCCTGTGTCATGGTAATCCTGAAAATTCCCAGGAGAGAGGAAACAAAAACCTGTTTCACCTGAGAGTACCTTCCTGGGGTGCAAATTCCATAGCCCCTTCCCTTCGTGAATCACTTCCCGCCAGAAACAATGTCCCTGTCCTCAGAAGCCACCTGACCTCTTCCTGAGATGCTTTCACTGGCTGAGATTTGTCTCAAATTCTTCTTGCCTCAAGTTTCCCTGCTCCAAGACAAGAAGTGGGAGAGAGAAGCTTTTTCTGGAATCACTATTAAACTTGATCATAGACAGTGACAGCAGGAGGATGAGGTCTTGATACAAGAACATGATTGTGGCCCTGGCTGCTTTTGCTCAATGGTTAGAGCATCAGCCCACGGACTGAAGGGTCTCAGGTTTGATTCTGGGTCAAGGGCATGTATCTCAGTTGTAGGCTCAATCCCCGCCCCAGCCCCTAGGTGCATGCGGGAGGCAACCAATTGATGTATCTCTCTCACACCAGTCTCTCTCTCTCTCTCTCTCTCTCTCTCTCTCTCTCTCCTCCACTCTTTCTAAAAATCAATGGAAAAATATCCTTGAGTGAGGATTTAAAAAAAGAAAGAAAATGATTGTGTACGAGAAAGAAACACAGTGCTCTCCTGGTTTTAGGGGAGGAGGTCTAGGATGGGTTTAGGGATTAGATCTCCATTATCCCATCCAGGTAGTCCAGCAGGTATGTCTGAAGTCAAGTGCGTTGACTTCAGGGGCTTATATTCATGGTGTGAATGTGTGAGTAGTGCCCTTCAGCCTAAAGGAAATTTTTATAAAGTGGAGGAATCTTAGTGGCACAGAGTAGTCTTCACAAAAAGAATTCTGGCTTTAGGTAAAGGGCCAGAGAGTAACATTTTTTTGGCCTTTGCATGCAGTAGGTCTCTGCAGCCATCACTCCCTCTGCTATTGTGCAAACACAGGTAAGAACGAAGCAGAAACGAATGGGCATGGCCTTGTGCCAACAAACCCAATTACCCAGTGGCTGGCTGGCTTGGGCCCACGGGCACAGCTTGCTGATCCCTGCTTCAGGTGCAATGGGCCTCAGCAGAAGATCCCACCCCTTTCCTTGTGCCGTTTGCTGCTATGATAACTTGAGAGGACACTTCAAGGGCACCAAATGCAAAATGAGGTGACCAAGTCAATTACTAATGTTTACAAAGTAGAAACGTCAGCGGTTTCCATTTTTGTTTTTGTAATTCTCAAAGATTAGTCACAGCCCTTTTCTTTTTGTCTGTGTTGCTCTCTCTGCTTAGAAGGCCCTTTTTTCTCACTTCTTCCCTGGGCTACCTCCTATCTGGTCTCCAAAATTCAGCTGGGGCGCCACTTTGGGGAGCCTTCCCTGATACTCCGTCTCTCCGATGTTGGTTTAGGCACTCTTTTTTTAAAAATATATTTTATCGATTTTTTTTACAGAGAGGAAGGGAGAGGGTTAGAGAGTTAGAAACATCGATCAGCTGCCTCCTGCACACTCCCTACTGGGGATGTGCCCACAACCAAGGTACATGCCCTTGACCAGAATAGAACCTGGGACCCTTCAGGCCACAGGCCAACGTTCTATCCACTGAGCCAAACCGGTTAGGGCTGCCTTAGGCACTCTTACTGCCTACACAGTGTTACCGAAAAACCGGAGAAGAAACAAGCAACGCTTAGAGAGATGGAGTTACATTTATCAATAGGACACCGTGCTGCCGCTGCATGACACCTATTGTCACCTATTCCCCTACTCCCCACCCAATAGGACACCGTGCTGCCGCTACCATGACACCTATTGTCACCTATTCCCCTACTCCCCACCCGAGACCATGAACTCTGAGAGCAGAACCCATGGCATCCTTGTAGCCCTGCGTCTGAGTGTGGGTGAAGGGTTACTATAACCCTTTCTCCTTCTATGGACAATTCTGACTTTGAACTAACTTTCTAGCTCAGTTTCCCTGGATAATAAAGGAGAAATGCCAGTGGTGTTATTAGGCAACGTTGTTTATGGTAGAAATGACTCCCGCTTGGCAAACTGCAACTGGTCTGGAGGAATGATGATTATCTGGAGGGAAGCTATAGCTGTGGGGTTCTCTGAGTACAGTGACTCTTACAACTGGGCATGTCCCCTGCAGGGATCCTGGAAGCGACACCTATGGAGTGGTCATGAGAAATGCTGCTTCTGTTGGTCATGGGGCTTCTTAGCTGAGGATGGGCCCTATCCCCAGTAGTGTGGATATTGTCTGAGCTGTCACCCGGGACCCCACACAGTTCCTGGGTCGTGGTACGGATTGCTGCAAGGACTCTTCCCACTGAAGCTGAGCAACTGGTGCCAGTTTCCTGCCTATCTTGATTTCAAGTGTAAACTTCAATTGCTTTGTGGGTCTGAGTGTTTCATTGGCGCCACGAAGACACTCTGGTGCATGCGACAGGTGACGCCTGGTATGTGCTGTCGTAGACACTGAATGCGTGTTTGAGTAAAGACTGAGTGGATGACGAGATGAAAGAACGTCGAGCGCTGGGAGGCTTTTGAGGACTCACTGAAACACTCGGGACTGGTAAACCAGCGTGTCCTTAAAGTGCACATCGCTCGTCTGGCACTGGTAGGATGCGAAGTTCACGTTGGCGCTGATCTGCAGCATCAGCTCTCGGTAGTGCTCTTCCAGCACTGAGTGCGCAGGCTCGGGGTCCGTCTCTATCACCTGTAACAAAGGCAGCCGCGTCCTCAGTGATGCACAGCCAGCTGTCACAGGGACACCGTGGGGAATAACAGCACACTACTCCACACTGCAAATTAACACCAATCTCTAAAGTCACATTCCAGAATTAAAGATGAAGGCAAAACTAAAATGACTCATTAATGGGAAGGAAATGAGAAATTACTGAGGGCATCAGAGATGCACAGACATGAGTTTGGGGTCAGACAGACTCCAAAGAAGGTAGAAGGAAGAAAATTATAAAGATAGGAACAGATATTAATAAAACAGAAAATAAGTCTAAAACAGAAAGGCCCAACAAAGCCAAAAGTTATTTGAAAAGATTTGAAAGACTTTTGGTGAGATTGATCAGGAAAAATACAAATAACTAACATCTGAAATGAAAAAGGGACATTATTATTGATCCTACATATTTAAACATATGGTAAAAAATATTATGAATAATTTTATGGAAATATATATGAAAAATTAGTTGAAGGGCAAACTCCTAAAAAATAATTTAATTAAAATAGACTCAAGAACAAATAAAAAAATCTAAAGAGTCCTAATACTATTAAAGACACCAAATGGTAGTAAAAAAATCTTAAAGACCTAAGTAAATAGAGCGACGTACCTTGTTAATGGAAAGGATGGAATAATATTATTAAATTATCAATTTTTCCTAACCTGACTTGTAGGTGCAATCCAATTCCAATGAATTTTCCATTTTATAGTATAGTTGACCCTTTAACAATATGGGGGTGAGGGGCACCGAACTCTGTGTATAACTTTGACTCCCACCAAACTTAACTATGAATGGCCTACTGTTGACTTTACTAGTAACATTAATAGTCAATTAAGAATATTTTGTCTGCTATATCTATTACATGCTGTATTCTTACAATAAAGCAAGATAGTGAAAAGAAAATGTTATTAAGAAAGTCACAAGGAAGAGAAAATAGATTGACGGCATTTATTGAAAAAAGTCTGTTATATATATTGCTGTAAGTGGACCCACACAATTCAAATCCATGTTGTTCAAAGGTCAATTGTACTTGGTAAATGGATTGCAAAATTATTCTGAAAAATAAAGGGCCAAGAATAACTAAACAGAACAAAACAGTATGGAGGAGGGACTTCCCTCCCAGATATCAAGGCTGATTATGAAGCTACAGGAATTAAAGAAGTGTAAAACTGGCACAGGGGTAGAAAAATTGGCAATAGACTATAGAGACAAGAAACATCTAGGCACATATGAAATTTAGATGACAAGGGCGTCATGGCAGATCACAAAAGAAGTGCTGGGCCCAAAAGGGATTTGGCGAGATTAGTTACCTAGATGGAAAAATATAAAATTGGACCCTTGCCTCATACCGTAATATCCAGGTGGGCCATACACACACACACACACACACACACACACACACAAAGTGATTATTTTCTTCACTGTTACAGAAAGGTTTTAAAAACAAGACACAAAAATAAATAATTATAAAGGGAGAGATGAACATTTTTGTTCACAAAAAGATAAATCAAAGAAAGTGAAAAGATGAGCTAAAATTTGGTGAAGATGTTTGCAGACAAAAATATATAAAGTAGAGTTTATAAAAAATAAAATGACACATACAAAGGACAAGCATCCTAGGTGAAAAATGGGCAAAATGCATTTACATTAAGAGATAACTTATATGGCCAATAATCACATGAAGAAGTATTCAACTTTAGTGACTGGGGAAATGCAAAGGCCCAAAATGAATCTATTTCCTATTTTTTTCTTTTTTTTTTCAATCCTCACCTGAGGATATGTTCTACTGAATTTTCAAAGAGAAAGAAGGGAGAGAAAGAGAGAGAAACATTGATCAGTTGCCTCCTGAACATGCCCCAATCGGGGAACGAACCCGCAACCTTTTTAGTGTATGGGATGATGCTCCAACCATCCCAGCCACCTGGCCAGGGCTATTTCCTATTCATTTCAAAGATAAAAATAAAAACATCCGACAATGCCAAATGTTGGAGAGATCGTAGATCAATGGGATCTCTTTGCTAGTAGAAGTATAAGTTGGTACAGCACTTTGGAAAAACATTTGGGAGTTACCCTGGAAAGTTGAACATTCCTATATCCTATGGTTCAGCAATTCCACTTTTGGAAATAAAAACTCTTTCAAATGAATACAATGTGACATGAATAATAATGCTCATAGAAACACAGTCCATTCTAGAGAAGCCCCAAATAGCTTTCAAAAGAAGAATGGACAGTAAATAATAATGGAATTTTATATAGCAGTGAAATGGGTGTACTGTAGCCACATGCCACAATATGGATAAGCACATGCAACAACCTTTAAACAAATAAAGTAAAAAACTACAATTAAATGTTTAGTTGCATAGATTAAAAAAGAAACAAAAGACAAAAATCAAGAGATTGAGCAAAAAAGATTCAGGAGATGATCTCCTCCAGGAAGGAGGCTGAGGGATGGCATGGCTGAGAACCACACAGGTAATCCACGTTCTACTTCCTGTGCTGTGTGAGGGTTCATCTTTGTTTACATTATTACAAGGGAACCAACCAAGGAATAATGAAAAGAGGGACATGCATGGACCAAAGATGAGATTCTGTCTACCATTAATCTAATTCTGGACACCTGAGGGAAAAAGGAAACAACGAAAAGACCAGCCATGACATTTTTGAAGAAGAAAAAGGTGAGAGGACTTGCTCAGTGAGATATCAAAGCTTAATCTAAAGCTCTACCAATTCAGAGGTGTGGTTCATGTGATATGTGTAGTATGGATGGCAGGTGGCATGCTTGGAAGTTGTTTGTCACTTTTGAGATCAAAGCCAAGTGGAATGGCAATGGAATACCCTGTGGCTATTAAAAAAGAAGGATCTTTCATTCTTTGGGTCAGCATGGATGGACCTGGAGATAATTATGCTAAGTGAAATAAGCCAGTCAGAGAAAGACAAATATCATATGATCTCACTTATCTGTGGAATCTAATGAACAAAATAAATTGACCAACAAAATAAGTCCCAAGGCATGGAGGCCTGGGACAGACAGACATATCTCAGAGCGGGGAAGGGATGAGAAAGGATAAACCAAAGAAATTATATACTTATATGCATAGCCCATGGACACAGACAATAGTGCGGTGAAGGGGGGGGGCAGGGTCTTTCTTAATTACAAAGGGGACAAAGGGAGGAGGAAATGGGGACATCTGTAATACTGTTCACAATAAAAATATATATGTTTAAAAAAGTCAAGTTGAATGGGAACAATTTCTTTTTCCATGAAAGAATGAAATGGTGAGACATGGCAATGCTGAGGGCAGTAGGCATCCAGGCCTGGTAGGCCTGGCCAGATTTGGGATTAAAGTCTCTACTCACTTTTCGTTTTGTAGTGAAAGTCCCGGGCATGTTTCTGGGCATGTCCACCCATTTGACTGTGCGCATGCGGTCGTCCCAGTCAGGGACCTGGTCTGCAGGTTGCTGAAACATGATCTTGGAGACCTTGCACTTGATGTCCATATTCTTCATGTTGATGGGTATGTCTGACTTCAGGGTCATCACGATGTCCTTGGCACACCCAGGGTGGAGGTGGCCAGTCTGGGAAAGAGCCTGGTGTTAGTCACTTGGGAATTCAATCTTGTATAGTCATTTTCTCATGACTATACAATGGAGTTTTCCAGCAGTTATGTGACATATGATATAGCATTAGGCTGAATGCAGAAGCAAATATGAGAATTAGCTGTCTTCTATCAGGTCAGATATTAAGGAGATTTATAAAAATGCAAAATAATGCCTCTATTCTCACACAATTTCAATTTTTTTATTTTGAAAGATATAGATGTTTTTATAAAAATATATTTATATGACCATGCAATGGGTTTATTATTATATTTTAAAATTAATAAATGAATGCAGTTTTTAAAAACACTCTCAGTTTTAATTTCTAATATGGTAAATATTGATAGATATAACCTACATAAACAAAAGCTCTTTGGGGGGTATCCTCAATAATGTTTAGGAGTGTAAAGGAATCCTGAGACCAAAAAGGCTTAGATTTGCTGAAGTATATAGCAAATACATGAGAAATCCAATTTGGACTGTAGAAAAAATCATTTATGATTTCACATACATAAACACGCACATACAAAACTCACATATATACCAAAGCTCATATATAAACAAAACTCACATATATAAAACAACATATAGATGAAATATATATATATCTATATATATGCATATATATATGCTAGTCCTTTCATGTTTCTGAAATTGCCTCTTCTGGAAAATGAAAGGAGAAGGAAGCTTTGTACTTACCATGCTTCCCAGGGCCACAAATATGTGTGTGCATACACAGGAGCGTGAGTGTGAGTGTGTGTGTGGAAGGGTGTGGAGGGGTGAGTGTGTGTGTGGACTATAAGAAGCTTATCTCTGTCTACTTTCACTAATGATTCACATCTCTCCAGGAAGCAAACCTTACTCCTGTTAGCAGTCCAAGCTTTAAAGGGGGGGCCCCAACCCCCTCGCTCTATGCCCTGAGAATTCTGTGTTTGAAGACTTGGTGGCTGGAACAGAGCGGGAGGCAGTGGGTATGTCTGTGTGTATCAGTGTCCTGGTACACACAACATACCCACTGCCTCCTGCGCTGTTCCTCAGACGTCAATTATCAATGAAAAGCGCCTGCGGGCCAGAGGCTAGGATCTGCTACCATGTTGTCCGAGGCCTTGGTCAATGGTGAGATTTGGTCAGCAATTCACAAAATGTGCGCTGTGAGATGCTAAAAGGAGGGGTTAGAAAATTGCAGGTAAAACACACTTAGCTAGGTGTTAGAATGCTGAAGGGCACTGGGGGTCTTTAAGAGAAAGATGTAACTTGAAACATTTTCTAAATCTCAGTTGTCCACAGAAACCATCACCCCCATTTTATCTTTTAGCGAACCACTAATGCTTAAAGAACACACACCTAGGGGGACACAGGTGTACACTCTGGGATAGGAAGACTGGGACCTTTTCCATCCACACAGGCTTCCATGGAATTTCTCAACATCAGCCTAGCAACAGTCTTGGCAGATCTCATTCTCTGCTCTTAGATCAGAGGGTGTGTGTGTGTGTGTGTGTGTGTGTGTGTGTATCCACAGGAATGGACTAACAATCAAATAGGTTTGGCTTAGGCCTAAAGGAGTCCAGAAACAGTAAGTAGCTTTCACTTACCTGTGGGGCAAAGGTAATTGTAGCTAACGAGGGCCATTCAAACCGAATCACATTCACTTGGCTGTGGTTAGTGACTGTGAAGCTCACGCTATAGCTGCTTCCAAGGTGGCAGTCCCCAAACTGAATGTGGTCCACCAGAGCAGCTAGGGAACAGAGCAGAAGGCACGTGGGTCCCCCGGCCTCCTCCCAGGGCTCTGACCCAGCCGAGGCAGCACCAGAAAGACAATGTGTCTCCTCCTCATGTAACCCCTCCCTCCTTGGATTGTTCTATTGGAAAAACTGGAGTCCTGAGCAGTAAGCTTTCCTTCCTTGGGGAATCTACTTATCCATCCATCCATCCATCCATCCATCCATCCATCCATCCATCCATCCATCCATCTTTCCATCCACCCACCTTGGCCCTTACCTCCAAGAGAAAACACAGTCCCCAACTCCATTTATTTGCTGAAACATTACTACTAAGGGTTAGGGTTGCCAGATAAAATACAGGAGTCCCATTACATTTGAATTACAGATAGACTATGAATAATTTTTAGTATAAACATGCCCGGTGCAATATTTTGGGATATACTTAAACCAAAAAATAATTCATAATTTATCTCAAAATCACATTTTTTAGAAAAATGTATTTGTATTGACTTCAGAGAAAAAAGGAGAGGGAGAGGGAGAGACAGAAACATCAATGATGAGAGAATCATTGATTGGCTGCCTCCTACACGCCCCCCAAACCGTGACCTCCTGGTTCATAGGTTGACGCTCAACCACTGAGCCACTCCGGCCAGGCCTGAAGTTCACATTTAATGGGGACTTCTATAGCCTGATTTTTTAAATCTGGCAAGCCTCTCAGAAGTATAAAATTTGATTTCTGAACTAGGGCTCACTGCTGGCTCCTGCTTGACTTCTGAGAGGAGAGAAGCCGCCCTGGAGCCACCAACAGGGGTGAGGAGTGCTGATTTTTACCCATGTCATATAGACTGCGCAATGCTCTATTCCAGGACTATAATGAAGCTCCTAGAAAAGCTATGGGACAGTGTTGGTATAATTCACTTCATAGCAATTAGGCACACAGTTAGGGTGCTTAGCAAATGCTTTCTAAGGGTAACTAGGAAGTGAATTTTCTCCTACCCCAAAAGAGTGCAGCCAACCAGATGAAGCTGCAGCACTTGACAGACTGCAGAGCAGAATGTCTTAAGCTTTCGTATACTCTCACATCACCTAGAGGCCCTGCTAAAATGCAGGTTCTGATTCAGCATGTGAGTGCTGGGGTAGGGCCTGGAATTCTCATGTCTAAGAAACTCGCAGGTAATGCTGATGCTGTAGGTTCTCAGATGACAGAGAATGATGCTCTAGAGGAGGCACAAGCCTACACCTGTTAAACAAGCCCACCATCTCTCTTAGAATGTCCAGGACACGTGGTGCAGGTGAAACAGACAATGTCAACGTGAGCCAGTTAATAGATATAAACATAGGAAACTGCAGAGAGATGTGTATTCCCTTCTTCGCTAATCTGGAGTTTGAATTTTGGTTATTAGCTAAATTTGAATTTGAATTCAAACTATAAGCCCCAGAAGGGCAGAGACTCTGACTACTCATCAGAACTCCAGGGCTCAGCACAGTGCCTGGCACATGCACAGGGATGCTCCATGAATGTCCCTCGAGGGTACACATGAGTGCAAGCAGTGACGGAGCCAGGCACGAAAGGGAGTCGGTCCTAAATTCCCAGGAAGCTAGTGGATCTGTTTTTTAAATTTCACTCTCATTTAAAATGACCCAAGAGCCAACAGTTGTCAACACCTCACTGTTGCTTCTCCCACCTGCCACCAAGTTTTCCATAGATACGTCCTCGGTGACCTCGGACATGTCGAGGGCCTCCCCGCTGGTGGGAGCCACCAGCCCGTGGACGTTGTCCAAAGTGATGTCATCCTCGTAGCCTTCTCCCACCAGGCGGATGATCGTGTCCTCGTACTGATTGTTGCGCACTGACAAGTGGATGGTGCCTGTCATTCTCCCGACATTTCGGGCTTGGAAAACAACATCAAATTCGGCTGTCTCTCCGGGAAGAACCACCAGGGAGGCCGTGTGAGCTTTCTTTGCTGCAAAGAGAAGAGAGAAGAATGCTGTAGGGTCAGCTTAAAGGAAGATGCATCCATAAAGACCCCGACTCAAGGGCAAGTGTGGGAATGAGCACTGCTGAGAGTGGCCATTGGTGACAAGACATCCTGCTCTCTCTGGGTCCTGACTGGTCCCCCAATGAAACAGGGACTGGGCTCCATTGCTCTCTAGAAGCTACTCTTCCTCAACTTACCTTTTGCATGGGCTTTGTTTTCCTCTATGATGTAGATGTAGGAGGTCGTGGGCCTCCCTTTCAGGGAAAAGACTTCTAGTTGGTCCTGCAGGTCAACATGCAGCTGGAGAAGGAAAGCAGGAGTGAGTGTGACACTTACAGGCTGCTCATGGATGTTGAGGCTATGGTGAGACCCCGTGCTGTTTGGGAAGGATCCCCCCAAAAGCCATTGTGCCTAGTGCCCGATTTTTTGTTTCTTATGAAGAGGGAGAGATCATAAATATTAGACCTGGAGAGGAAAAAAAGAACATTTAGTTCAGCTCTTGTTATCCAGGTGAGGAACTGGAGGCCCAGAGAGCACAGGTACCTTCCCAGATCAGCCAGCTCAGTAGTGTCAACGTGGGTTTGCCACGGCCTCTGCTTTTGACAGAGGTGGTTGTAAAATATACTCTAGAGCAGTGGTTCTCAACCTTCTGGCCCTTTAAATACAGTTCCTCATGTTGTGACCCAACCATAAAATTACTTTCGTTGCTACTTCGTAACTGTAATGTTGCGACTGTTATGAATCGTCATGTAAATATCTGATATGCAGGATGGTCTTAGGCGACCCCTGTGAAAGGGTCGTTCGACCGCCAAAGGGGTCGCGACCCACAGGTTGAGAACCGCTGCTCTAGACTAATAAATGAAAATGGATATTTGTCATTTCATGAGGGATTGCATGCCTATGAGTTTCTAAAAACCAGTGTCTCCTAGGTACCAGTGCCTGAGTTGCTTGATAGTGTCATGTTGAGTACCCTACCAAGATGAGAGGAAAACCAAGGTGGGCATTTTCTCCAAAATGAATTGGAGAAAAATGATGTTTTCCAGCCCACTGATTTAAAAAATAAAATCAGCCTGGCTGGTGTAGCTCAGTGGTTGAGTGTCAACCTATGAACCAGGAGGTCACAGTTTGATTCCTGGTCAGGGCACATGCCCAGGTTGTGGACTCAATCCCCAACTGGGGGCATGCAGGAGGCAGCTGATCAATGATTCTCTCTCATCATTGATGTTTCTATGTCTCTCTCCCTCTCTCCTTGCCTCTCTGAAGTCAATAAAAAACATATAAAAAAAACCTGATTATGTTGATTTTAAAAATAATCTAATAGAAATTCTAGAGTTAAAAAATGATAACAAGAATTTATTTGGAGGTTTAATAGCAGATTAGTTATAACTAAAGGCAGAGTTAATAAACTGAAGACAGGTCAAAAGAAATTATGCACAAGGAAGCTCAGAGAAAAAATGAATGGACAATACAGTGAGATTGTGAGACACAGAGGATATACTAGTAGTGAATGGTCTTCTATATGTTTAATTGGCTTCCCAGAAAGAGAGATGGGACAGAATAGAATAAAAGCAACATTTGAACACACATCTAGGAATTTTCCAAAAGTTGCAGAATCGAGAAGCCCAGTGATTTTCAAGAAGGATAAATAACAAGAAATCCATACATAGACACATAATAGTGAAATAGCAGGAAGCAAATACAGAGTGACAATGTAAAACACAGTCAGAGGGGAAAGATTGCCTTAAAAGAACATTTTAGACTGACAGCTGGCATCTCAGCAGTCACAGTGGAAACCAGGATACACTGGAATGGTATCTCCCATTTGCTGAAAGAAAACAACTGCTAACGCAGAGTGTTCTATAGCCAGTAAAAGTTACATTAAAAATGAAGAAGAAATGAAGATTTTAAAATAAAAATAGAGAATTCACTACCAGCACACATGCATTAAGGAAATAGTAAAAAGTATTCTTTGGTCAGTAGGAAAAGGATTTCAGATGTAAAGGTGGAGATGCAGGAATGACAAGCAAAATAAATAAATAAATACATAAATAATAATCATCATCATGTGGGTAGACCTAAAAGAGTCTTAACTGTATAAACAACAATAACAATAATAGTAATAATGTCTTGTAGGGTTTACAATATATACAGAATCCGAAGCCCTCGACAAGCTGTCCCTTTACTCTGCCTTCTGTATTTATCTCCCACCGCTCTCCTATCTGTACACTATGCTCTCATGAAGCTGGTGTTTACTAGCTCCTGTTTGTACCTTCTGCTTTTTTGCTTGTGTGACTTTGTCTTTGCCATTTTCTTTTGCTACCTGGATGCACTCACTCGCTGCCAAGCCCACCAACTAAAACCCAGCTACCTTCAGTGCCACTCAGATGTCATTTTAGAGTGAAATTTTCCTTGATCCCCTAGATGGGATCAAGGTCATTTTCAAAAGTCCTACAGTCTTTTGCATAACCCTTGCACAATTTAGCACTTTTTTTGTAAAATAAAATTTTACAAAATATAATGGCTGAACCAGAAGTCCCTACAGATGCTACATCTCTCACCCCCAATGAGGTTTCTTTTGTTTTCCTTTATTATAAAGGCAATGTTCGTTACAGAAAAAACAAAGACGACACTAAGCATACCCATAATCCCACCCACTAAGCTTGGTGCATGTCATTGTACACGGCCTCACACGGTGATTGTTAGTGGACTATGTAATCTGCTCTCTGACACTCCTTGAGGGTAGAGACCATGTCAGATTTCCCTCTGCATTAACACAGGTTAATGGATGAGGAACATCAAAGAAGTCCTCCTTCAAGAGGGATGGCAGGGACCTCAACGTCAGAAGTCTTACATCTGAAGGCTTCTTCTCCCTTTCCACCCCGCACTTCACCCCCCAGCAGTACCTGGGCAGGGATATTGCCATTGTTCTTGAGGACGAGAGGGAGTTTCTCTGAATGGCCAAGAAGAAGCCTCTTAAAGAGGAGCAAGAGGTTTCCATACTGGTTGTGGAGAATTGGCCGCACGATGGTCACCCGAGGGAGGGTCCCCTCTCCCACGATATCAAACGTGAGGCTTCGGTTCTTGGTCTGGATGCTGCAGGGGAACAGGGAGATGGAAGCCTGTCAGCCCGGCATGGCAGGAATGACATCCCATGGGGTGTGGCCTGCAGCCCTGCTTGCAGGAGAGGTTGCTGGGGTGCTGGTACCTGGGCACGCCATCCAAGGTCGCCTCGAAGATACACTGGTACGACTGCATGGTCTGGGGGGTGAAGGTCACCGTGGCAAAGGCATGTGAACGACTGGCAATACACATCTTGTTGGGTTCCACTTCAAAGATGTCAATGATGCGGGCAGTGGCCTGGTGAGGGGGGAGGGGCAGGAACCCACACATGTGTTAGCTATGTGGCACTGACACAGGGTTTGCTGCTTATCTCTGTTGCCCCGGCTGTGAAATCTCCCCCCTCGAAGCTCTGGGGTAAACACGTTCCATTGCCTGCACAGTCATGCCCCTGAAAGGGGCAGCCTAGATACTCTGGGACCCATCTTCCAGCAATAACCACATTTCCTTTGTTTTTTTCAATGGACAGCTTGCACTTTAGGACGGGGAGAACATATCATGCTTGCAAACCCCCCGTTAGAAACTTATCTTTGTTTAGAAATCAGGCTTCCTCACCTTTTTATGTTTTTTTTTTTTTTTTTTTTTTTTTTTTT